AAAGGGTCGATCTATTCGACCCTAAAGCACCATGAGAGTCAAGCATCTGCGAAGGTCAGATGGCTCGACCCTATGGTCGAAGGGTCGATCGGTTCGACCCTAAGATAACCCAAAGGGATGATGACCCGAAGGGATGATAATCCAACCATACACACATCGACAAACATAGTCATACTAAAAGAAAGCAACAGTGCATAACATCAAAGAGAAGATAGCGAATACATGAAGCGTCATCAAAACAACAAAAGTACGGGGGCGCCAATAAGAGTTCCATGCGAAGTCAAAAGTCATGAAAAAACAACATAATTGTTCTAAAATAGCAACATCAAAAGAAAGCAGGAAACTACACTACGCGTCATGAGGGTGCTCAGCAGCATCGACAGTTGGGTCCGCGCTCGACCCAGCAGCAGGGGTAATCGCAGAGAAAGCGGGGGGCTGGACCAGCACCGTTTGCTTCGGCGGAGCAGAGGACGCGTGAAGCTCAGGGAGCTCGCTCGACTCCTTAGGGAGGGGCGACTCCACGGGACACTGAGAGTCGGCGTCATCCTCCGAATCGTCTTCCGACTCCTCTAACTCAGAGGGGGACCGGGAAAGAGGATGAGGCAGAGGAGGAGGCGGCAGCGGACCTGAAAAATCTACCTGGCCCTCAAGGCTCGCATCCCTCACTGCGGCACCAAGGGTCGGATCCCACCTAGGGTGATCATAGGGCAACGTACCATCGCCCATGAACCCTCTGGGGTAAGGCAGGTTGCGGTGCAATGCCTTATTGCGAAAGGCCCCCATGAAACCCTGGTCGACGGCCTGCTTCTGAGGACGCCTGATAGCAAACCGTAGGTACTGGGGAGTCGCCGGGACAAGCAGGTGGAGATAAAGAACCGAGTTGCGATACAGGCTCAGTAGCTCATTCCGACACGTGATCAGGAAGCGTTGACCCCCATCAGAGGATAAAAACCCCCTAAACCCCACCTCACGAAAAGATTCTGTGGAAGTAGTATGAAGGGCATTGGCCTCCTCCATCTACCTAGATAGATCGACCAACTTCGCTTTAACTCCTGATTCTTCTCCTTGAGTTCCTTCTCGCATTCGGTCATCGTCTTCTCAAGGGCGGTACACTTCCACTCCGCAGTCTCTTTACCCTCGAGGGCCTCGGTCAGCTGACCCTTTAGTGTGTCGCCGATAGACTTCACCTTCCCGAGCTGCCTCCTCATCTGATCGACCTCCTTCGGGTCAGCACCGGCCCGCCCATCCACCTCATCAAAGAGCAAAGAGCTTGCAGCGCCAAGAAACTACAA